AAGGTGTTTTTTGAAATCAATAGAGTATTGTAGAAGCTAGGGATTTAGCTCAGTGGTTCCACTGCCTGCCTCGAAAATTCAAGAAACTCGAGTTCAATCCCCGGTACCAAAAAAATAAAAAAATAAAATAAAAAATCTAAAAAAATAAGGCATGGTGTGTGTAAAAGCTAAGAAACTAAAACAGCAAAACAAACTTGAAATTATACTAAATTATTCACCTTACCTGATTTCTAGTCTGACACACAATACCACCAAGATAACATAATGGTAAAAGTGCAGATTTACATTAATGGGCGGGTTAAAAAGCAGACTCTTACATACAATGTCAACTGATCTTCAACACAAGTACAAAATCAGTCTTGACCTGCACATGGTATGCATTGTATATAATTTCTGGATTTCATATGTAAAATCTCAAGTAGATTATAAGCCTGAATGTGAATACTATTCAACTTTTAAAGAAGTTTTTAGGGCTGGGGATTTAGCTCAGCAGCTGGCAAGCACAAAGTTCTAGTTTGATCCTGGGTACCCTCCAAATAAAATTTTTGGTGGGGGGAGATTTTTCTTTTTTCTTTTGGTACCGGGGATCGAACTCAGGATCTTGTGCTTGTGAGGCAGGTGGCAGAACCACTGATCTAAATGCCCAGGGGAAAAAGAAATTTATAGTCTCCAATTAGGCAAATATTTCAGATATGCCAAAAGCATAATCCATAAAAATTTACTATGAGAGTTAACTACTACTACATTTCAAAAGGCACCGTTGAAAGGGAAAAACCCTGATTGAGAGAAAATATTTATAAAGCACGTCTGATAAAGGTCTTGGGTCCAGATAACAAAAACTAGGGTCATGCTAGAAACACAAATGTTGTTTTGGTACCAGGGATTGAACTTGGGCCCTTGCGCTTGTGAGGCAGGCAGCGGATCCACTGAGCCAAATCCCTGGCCCACAATTTTTTTTCAAACTAAATCAAAAGGGAAATTTTCCAGTATGCACCATAACAACTATCTGTAGGAATGTCCTAATAATTTTACACACCTAGCCTCGTCTAAGTATGTTTATTATCTCTATATTCTTACTTGGAAAAATGAAAGCAAAAATCAGTTAAGAATGGCCTGAGTTAAACTATGGGGTATCCAATACAAGTGAGATTGCTCCATGTGGACAGAAAAATCTTTCTGACAGAGAATAATTGATATGGGAAACTGCTCAAGGTAAGTTAAGCAGAGAAATAAAATATGAAGCCATTTTTCCATTAAAAAGCACTAATCCTCTAAGATGGAAAACAAAATAAATAAAAACATTAATGGGAGTTAACTGTTACTATTGGTCGGGTATTTTTCTTCTTTAAAAAGAAATGAAAATGTCCAAAGAGCATGCATTCAGAACATCACTTACTTAAGAACTTGAAACACTGCAGTTAAGCCAAGAGATGTGCAGCATAAAATCCCTGCTATCCTCGTGTAGAAAAACAAACAAACAAACAAACAACCTGCAGTGTTTCTGATTTTGCAAAAGGGGGCTGGGCAGAGGCAGCTGAGAACCATCTTCAGGAGATGTGCAGCATAAAATCCCTGCTATCCTCGTGTAGAAAAACAAACAAACATACAACCTGCAGTGTTTCTGATTTTGCAAAAGGGGGCTGGGCAGAGGCAGCTGAGAACCATCTTCTAAATCCATGTTGCATGAGTGACTCCAGTAAGGCGAGGCCACACCAGGAAACACACTGGCATCTGGCTCTCTCTCCAGCACTAGCGGTTCACACATTAGCTCTTGGGTTGTGCTGCACTGTGGTCTTACATGGGATATAAAGATATCCTGGTTTTAGCCTTCATTTGGTCACCAAATTGGTTTTTAGTAATAAAGCTGTTTTAGTATAGAAAATGGACTTCCTGTTTAAAAATACCTTATGTTATTTAAGACTTAACCTTATTGCCCCCTAGTGGGAAAGCTGTCAAATAACTTGTTGCTCTTCACTTAACTACCAGAGAAATTAAGTAGAATTTTCTAAAAATGCATAAAATAGTACCAGCTTTTCCCACACGTTTTATTTTATGGTGCTGGGGACTGAACCCAGGATCTTGGGCATGCAAGCATGCCATCTCTGAATCACACCCCCAGCTCAATTATCATCTGCCAAATTCTTTTAAAAACAAGCTTTGTAGTGACTCTTGTTTGATAAGCACTGTGCTAGGCAGGGAAGAACTCTTTCTGTTAATGTTAAGCCTGTAAAGTGGGTGTTCTAAGACAGAGGTAGTAGCTTAGGGTATCACTCATCTATAACTTATTGTAAAGTTTTAATTCATACGCATTAACGGTAAAATAAAGCAGAATGTTTTCAAGGCTTTTAAGGTGTGTAGAAAACTTTATCCATGCACACATAAAACAGCTTACCCTATCAACACCTGAACAGGTAAGATACCATAAAAAGTGATACTTTCAAATACAAAAGAAAATTGACTCAATGCATAACAATGTAACATATACTTATCTCTATCTTCTAGGGAGCAAAAAAAAAAAAAAGCACTTGATTTTGTTTTTCCTAAAGTGCACATTACCATCTCCGTTTAAATTTATGTGTGGTAGAAAAAAAGATGCTGAAGTAATATCCCCAGAGAAAATGGTTTCAATTTCACTAAAAATGCCTTTTATCAGTACTACTTAACTTTCACATAGGCACAATTTTCTAAGAATAAACACATTACTCTTATAAAAGTTAAGACACCAAAAGAACTTCAAGGTTTGCATTTAGTTTTATGTCTCTAACCAGATTAACTTTCACATTCAAGTTTTTTAAAAAGCTTCATGATTTTAAAAGGAGAAAAGGTGCATGGATTTTGTTTTATTCCATAAGGATTCAAAGAAATTAAATATCTAGTAGTTGTTTTATAAGCCTATTTACATAGATTATAAATTAACTATTCTTACTGCCCAGCCACAAAGTAAAGATTAGAGGAGAGTAATAAAAGTTCTTCTATAAGCTTCTCAAAGGTTAAGAGAGGGTCGGGGATTTAGCAAAGTGGTTACACTGCCTGCCTCGCAAGCACAAGGTTCCAAGTTCGATCTCCAGTACCAAAAAAAAAAAAAAGTGTGCACTTTGGCAGCACATATACTAAAAAACAAAAACAGTTTAGAGAGAAGGGATAGAATATGTATATTAGTGGCAAGAGATACAGAAATACAAGCAACTTGACAAGACTAAGTTTATTCTATAATTTTTATTTAAAAAATTAACGATAACCACATAAAATGAGTGGCTGGGCTAATAGTTTGCTACACCAAAGAAATTAAAAAATACTTGAGTTAAAGTTACAATAATTTATCATAGCATTCCTTAATAGAGGCATTTTTAATTTTAGCAATTATGTTTACCTTTAATATTTAAAACTAACTCTTAAGTGTCATGGATGAGAATTATCATAGCTACAGACAAATCAAAAGAGAATTTCCCAGAGCCATTTGCTGGTATTATCTCAAGAAATACAAGCAAAGTGTAAGGAAACTACCTTTCAAAAAGATCTTCTGTAAAGTATGTCTGATCAGAAAACAGAATACCACGGATACTTCTGATAAAGGAACACCCACTTGCAAGTCAAGTGTGAATAAATAACATTACGAATGTACCCAAGATCCCCAAATAAATTAGTAAAAGTGCCATTAAGAATTATCAGACATATAATCAATGTGTTTACAAATTCAAGTGCAAAAGATACAGTAATTTTATTACATAAAATTTCTCCTGTGCTAAGACTTAATTTACAAGACATATTTGTATAATGGAGAGGAAACTATAGTGGAATTATTTTTCATTACCGAATAGAACAATGGTAATGGGAAAACAAGCACTCAAGAGTCCTTTATATTTAAGGTTGTTATATTACTGCTCAACCAAAATAAACTACCATTCTTTATAATATAAATGCCTGCTCCATTCATCTTTTAAAAATAAAGTCCATCTTTTTCTCCATTAAAGCTTCTGCAGGACAGACAAATGTACATCCCACCTATTAAAACCAGGGGTCCTCTTCATCTTTGGGTATCACCACTTAAGGAAAATGCAGTCATTTACAGATCTAAATCTTTGAGGCAGCAGCTGGAGTTCATTCAGCACTTTTTCAACACTGTACCTTTAAAGGTTTGTTTTTAATATAAGCTTTGGGAAAAAAAAGAAAAATATCTATGGCAAATTACAATTCATTTTGATTCTAATTTGATAGTAAAATATAAAAAGTATTTGGTGAAGTGTCAATTTTATCTATGAAATTATTTAACGTTAGTTTTCTGCTCTTAAATGACCAAGTGACAAAAAAGTTTTAACTTGTTAAAAACATTAAGTCTTTCACTTAGTATTCAGTAAGGCAAAAATGAAATTAAATACTATAAAAAGTCTTTAAAAATTGAAGTTCTACAAATTTGGTTCTCATTTACAATAATTTCATTAACAGCTAAGTATAGATACAATGTATCCAATACTCTCAGAACTACAGTAAAAAAAATCTCTAGTAGCATTATAGATCACGAAATCTTTAATACCAATATATTCAGAACATGTTCACAGAGAACCAATACCTCTCCCTCTCCATGAAAAAGAACATTTGTTAAAAATAACAAAAAGTATCAGTAAAACAAGAGAAACCCATTTCATTTCACTGCACCTAAGGGTATGACACAATATACTGGCTTAAAGAGGTAGATTAAAAAGAAAAAGAAAACCAGATTCTCCATTCTTTGTCACTTTTATTCAGTAGTAGTTTTTTCCCTTATTTTCATTGCCAGACATGGCAAGGAGTGATTACAGCCAACTGTTAATAAACATTTGTTCGCAACATACACCCCCTTTACCACTGACCCCAAACTGACTCATTTTGTGTGCTTTCGTTCGTTTTTTTAATATACCACCACTGAGACTGGGTGGAAGGGGCAAGGGTAAGAGAGATGAGGGGGGACAGTCCAGGAGGCCAGAGAGGAGGAATGCTACAAGCCACAGTAAGAATGAGCTGTATTTAATTTTAAAAAAGGGGGAAGGGGTGTACCCCACAAATGATACAGTAATGAGGATACACAATTAAATCCCATAGCATGACTGAAGGCGTTCACTGTGTTTGACGTCATCACAATGGAAGGCATAAGTGGAGTAAATCAATGTTGACACAGTCCAATCTAGTCCATTAGGCAAGATGGTGCAAGAAGTCATTTAAATTAAAAGTGCCCTACCCTTACCTAAATGGCTAGCAGACATGGAGAACACCAGTGAGGAAACCACAGAGCTTCTCCACGTAGCTATAAACATGTGTTGTCAAATGGCACACTGTCAAACACTGGAAGGGGTGCCACAATGAACCTCTCTCTTTTATAGGTACAAATGCTAGATTCAACTATCTCAACTAAGCAGGAAGTGGGCTCTTCTGCTAGGAATACCAACCCTAATTCACTTTGTCTTGAAATATATACAGATTGTTTGTAGTAGCTACAGCAATGATATTTTCCTTGGGGTGCCAGGCTGTATGAAGAATTTTCTTGTTGAAATCTAGGCTGTCAACACTTATTTCATCTTTCTTTCGCTTGCCGCTTGCACAGACTTTGCGTGGCTTCAAAACTGTGCGAGGCTTATTGTTTTCTCGTGATGCTTCTAGGGTTATATCTCGCTTTGTGTTCCTGTCGAACATTCTGAAGAAATTATTGTAAGATCCAGTCATGACAACACTGTAAAAGTAGAACACTCAGTCAAACAGGGAAACCCAAGATAGCAAAATGGTTTAGTGACTTAACTTAAAGCTTGTCTAGGACTACACCTGAGACATCTACTTCAAGCAGCTTTGAATTAAGAAATGGAGTACTGGCCGGGGATTTGACTCAGTGGTTCCATTGCCTGCTTCAAAAGCGCAAGGTCCCAAGTGAAATCCGCAGTACCCCCCCGCCCCGCCGGAAAAAAAGTACTCAAAAGAAATGGGGTACTAATGCCTACTCATTCACTGAAATAAATTAAGTCATATCCTAGAGTTAACTTGGTTCTATGACTACCAAAACTATTAGCAAAGTCAAGAGCAACAAGTAAAACTTTTAGTGCTGTTAAGTACTTCTATAATTATAGGCTACATGATCAACCAGATTAGACACTTGACTGAAGCAGAAACTGTGGAACTTACACATTCTAACCCGCTTCATAATGCATAAAATACCTGTCCACAACAAACTACTGGTTTGTTTTACATGTACTTTATAAGCTATTTAGCTCGTCCCAAAGTCATCTGGTTAAATACACTACTGAGAATGTTTAAAAAGTAGTAAATATTTTTACGGATAGGGAGTTTACCTATACCCCACACACAAAAACCTTAAATACCATTAAAAGCATCATTTCAAGCCTGTTGGAGACACATGCTGTTGGTGGGGACAGAAGGGATGGGCTCCCACTCTGCTGTCTAGACTGGTAATGAACTCATAGTCCTGCTGCCCCAGCCTGCCAGGCAGCAAGGACTGAAAGGGTGTGCCCCTGGGTCTGCCCAGGACATGCTGTCCATTCTACCCACCATGTGTCACTGTTCAACACTCACCAAGCAGCCTCAAAGGCAAAAACTTCACAAGTTTGCAACTCTTGATAGTTTGGAAAGGGTCTGACTCCACTATTATTTACCACTTTTTTGCCACATGTTTCAAATTATTATTATAAATGAGATTAGAAGATACTAGGGAACTGTTCAAAATAATGCTTCACCTGTTAGCTGAAAAGGATTATAATCTATTCAGTAATGTAATTTCTCCAAAGGGTATTTGACAAAAATTTTAATCAAACTCCAGTTGGTGCATGTTCCTGAAAATAATAAAACTTTTTTTTTTTTTTTTTTTTTTTTTTTTTTTTTCTGTGTTAAAAAGACCTTGTACTTGCCAGGTAGACAGTGACACCACTGAGCTAAATCCCCAGCCCCAAAACTATTCCTTTTTAAATAAGTAAACTGGGTTGGCGTCCTCTTATTATTTGAATTTGTGAGGTTTTCATGGATTAAGGATGCCTACTCTTTAGCTATTTGAAACTTTTTAAAGATTATCATGAGGTCAGTATTTTTGTGGCATTCCTGACCCATAAAATGTATAACCTGATTCTAAGCATAAGAAAATATCACACAAGGGCCAGGGATTTAGCTCACTGGTGCTGCGACCTGTCTCCCAAGGTCATGAGTTCCATCCCCAGTACAAAAAAAAAAAGATGGTATCACACAATACCGAATTAAGAAAACATTCTATACTGTATCATACCTCTATGAATGTAAAATATCTAGTACCTGCTTTACGATACATAGTAGGGACCGTGCTTTATCAGAGCTACATTTAATGATATTACTCTAGAATGTTCTCTTTCCAGATGATGATTAAGAGGCTGATAGAAAAAATGGTGCCAGGTACCACAGCAGCAACAGAACTTGGCTGTTGTCTGGATATTATTCTTTTCTTTTTTTT